TTGAGAGAAATGGAGATAATGAATTAAATGGTACATAAGACTTGAATTTTTGTTAATTTGTTTCTTTTCAWTCTCTAAAACCAGACTTGTGTCATTCTCTCTGAAGAGGGCACCAGAAGATTAGATAAGATGTGCTGATGGACAAGGACCCTGCTTGTAAGTCTGCACTCATTTCTAAACCAAATTTGTCTAGTTTWAACTTTTAATTAGTGGACCTATTTATATCATTGCCTACTAGATGGAAAACTCTTGTGATCAGCCTATAAAAATATCCAATAGCAGAAAGAATGTACTRGTAAGTTAAGCTCCAACTTAAGCCAGGTCAGGTAGAGAACAACACCTTCACACCAAAGCTCAAGTCCTGTTTCCAAGTTATGCTCATTTGAGTAACAGAAGAACCAAGAGTCTGAATTCTGGAAGTACAGCAAAGCTCCAACTGAAAGTTTTCTTTAGCCTAAAAAAAGAGCTCCCTTTGCCAGGGTGATACAGTAATAACAGAACATTATCTTGATGTTCAAGCTTTTTGTTCAGTACTATTTGTGCTTATAATAAAACCCCCTCAGTATCAGTTCTGTCAGAGTACAGAATACCAGGTATGTTCCCAATTTTCAAGCAACCAAACCAGAATTAGTTTTGCTATTTTTACCAAACCGTTTGGTAACTCTGAAGGAAAATACCACAAGAATGAGGGTAAAAATTGAAAATGTGTTTTGCAGTATTTCAAATGTGTGTTAAAAGTGACACAAGTTTGGGCTGTGCCCTCAATTGAACCTCACATAACTCCAGACTCCAGTGAAGTATGGAATGGAGTTTGGACTGTGTCTGGCTATCCCCAAGGTGCCTCTGATGTGTTGGCCAAAATGTTCAMTGAAGCTCACAGATTTATGCACTACTCGTACATGTATTTATTAACCAGTGATCTTGCYTTCCTGTCTTTTCTGGTTCAAAAGTAGTTCTTTAGGAAAAAAAGCAAAATACGTGCTTTAAACCCAACAATTTGGACCCAGTAAAGAACAATGATAATATTTGCAGTTAATTCTTTTTCCCTATSAAAAGAAGCTCTCAGCAGTTTGCTTTTAGACAACCTTCAGCAGGTCTCTGTTCTTACTCCATCCTTTTCCTTATTTTTTTCCAATCTCAAACTTTCCCAGAAAAAGTAAACCTGCATCCCTAGCACTGAGTCTGAAAATCAATCCTAGTTATTAGAAAAGTAACACAGGCATGAGGATCCAGAAGTTTTGGAGTAAGATCTGCAACATCCGTATTTTTTAGCTGTACTACCAGGGAGAACCTGGAGCTCTTCTCAACCTCATGGGAGTTTGACACAATTCACCTCAAAAATCTTCCTTCCTAACCTTCTTCATCCCAAAATTTATCTTTCTTTTATTGTAAGGCACTAAAGAGTCCTGAAGTACTCTGCAATTTGAATTAAAAGCCTCAGGAAATAGTTCTTGCCCACTCTACGCCAGGTACAAAACTGAATTTTCTGGAATATACACTAATTTAATAAACAACAGCTTCTGGCAACTCTGTGTGTGTTTTTAACATATTGAGTACTTACAGATACAGTAACAGATGACAAGAACCACCATGCAGAAATTCAGGGAAAAGAGGAACTACTGTGGCTGTGCTTTGGTCATTTACTGACTGCAACTATTGAACTTTCATTTATTAAATTACAGAAACTCAGATACACTGTGTCTAATCCAGGAAATTTTAGACAGGAAAATACAACGGAAGTGAACAAAGGTCACTTTTGTTCCCAAATGTGCTTCTATAAAAAAATTAATGATTTACAACCAGTTTATCCCATTTTTTCAGGCTGAACTTCAGACAAAACTTGTAAGTAGGGCCATGCTGTTTTAAATTTCTCTCTAAAATGTTACTTTCACCCAGCAARCAAACAACTCAACTAAACCAAAGTATATCTAATCTATCAAGATAGCCCCTGGATACAAGTTTAGAGTGCACCCTCCAATTAAGTCCAGCTTTTACAACAGCATGATAATCCATTTAAAGACAGGCATACTGAAAAGCCATGTGAGGACAGCATCTGGATGTCTGTCAGTTCATCACTTCTAAGAAAAACTCTGTAGCTGAGTAACCATCACACACTGCAGCTCTGAGAACCATGCCCACCACAGCTCTGCAAGCAAATTTAAAGCACACATCCCAAATCTGTGATCCCAACATCCTTAAGAGCTCCTGCTCATTGTATGGTATCTTTTCCACCATCTTTGCTTAACTGAACATGGAAGAAAGTCTTCCTAATAACGTCCAGTTAAGAAATTCATGTCTGCATGTATCAACAGCAATCTAACAATTCCCACAATGAAGTTATCTGTGTCAGAGCCACAGCTATTTCAAATTAGCAAAGCTGCTACAGCATTGAACACAACTATTGTGCAGTGCAAGACCTGTAGAAATTTGTTCAATATTAGTTATCAGCACAGGGGAGAAACCAATCACCTGGTTGTTTATGGCACTCRGTTGAAAGATATTAGCCCGGACACACAAATGTGGTTGGCACTTTGCCCAGAATTCCACAGCCAGATATGTATCCCAGCATGAAGGGCTCTGTCACTTCCCTACATGGTCATCTTTTTGCAAACACCATGTCAAAGGCCATCGCAGCCCTCCTGCACTTGAGGCGCAGGCATGCACAGARTCTCTCTCACCTCCAGCTTTTGACACCAATGCTGGGACACAGTGCATTTATTGGCTCTTCTTTACTGGCTTTGTGGCTTTTCTCAGTTTGATTACAATTAATAACMTCATCATTGTCTAGCTACAAGAATTTATTACTTTGGTATCAGAARCTGTGTTACACCAAAGCACTTATTTCTCTATTAAACATCCACGTGACTTACAATTGACTGCAGCTTCCAGGGAGGGTAATTTAAATGCATTGTTTGACCCACCTGTTTAAGTGAGTATTTTACCCAGAAAAGCTTCTACAGTYCATCAACAAGCCAGACCACCTATCTTATAGGACAGTCATAAAACTTGGATTTGTTTTTCTATATAAACGTACCAGCTTAAGCTTGTCCTTTTTTAAAAAATAAACAAATCAATTCTACATGTGCTGGACTATCAGTCATTGTTCTATGAGCAGATTTTAAAATAATGCAATAGCAACCTTGTGATAAAGAKGGTATTATACTTGTCAAAGGCAGCCTGGTGTTACAGGCACATTGGTTATTCCCAATTCGTTTTTCTCCCTCAGACATAGGCCTTTTAACCAGAGTAATTGATTTTATTGGTACTGACAATATACAGCAGGTAAGTAAAAGCCCACACATCCCCCAGGTGTTCTCATACAGAATAAAGGCAAAGCTAAATTTGAAGATGAAAACACAATCTGTACCTCTTCTGAAATAGCAATGAATCAAGGAGAAAGTGTTCTGTGCTCTAGACACCTGGCAGAGCATCAAAATCCAGCATTTCTCCTCAGTGATACCCCAAACCAGTGCAAMACACACAGTCATCAACTGCCAATTCTACCAATACCGCTCTAAAGTACCAAAAAACACAACCCAAGTGTATTCCCATGATGAAAACTCCTTCCAAAACTACCATTCCACTGCTGACATTTAAAAACAGGATAAGGATTTGGCCCAGACATCTACTGCAGAGTCTGTAATTGATACAGTTCTGTTTGCCTCAAAAAGGACACATCAAGAGCAGCAGAATCAGCCCCCCCTCGCTCACGGCTCTGGTGCAGAGAGGAGCAGTGAGGCAGAGCACAGTGAGTGACAAAGCATCACAGTTCACCCTCCCGTGCTGCTGTCACCACCTGGGATTTGGACTCCTAGCTGAATCATCCTGTGCACAAAACAGGGGCTTGAGACAGGGCTCAGCCAGTGCTAAAGTTTCTCAAGGAAAGAAAGCTGGGCMGGCAGCCAACACCAACTTCATTCTGAGTGCACACTCTCTTTGCCTGCTAATTAAAACAGGAGGATAGTCGAGTTTAAGGGTATATATTTATCTCCTCTTGAGACAGCTACCACCTCTAAAATCAAAGTGACACTAGTGCAAAGMAAGTTTGATGTACACCCTGCATTGTTCCCAAAGGAAAAATCACTCAGTTAACAGTTGATAATGACCTACAAAATCTGAGCATGCACCACTCCTGACACTTAGCAAGAGCCACCTAGTTTTATCAGGGAAGGAACAGCCAAGCCCAGTTTAGAGAAGTTACTGCTGTGGCAGTAACCAAAATGATGGAGTTGAAGCTAAAAGCATATAACACTTTTATTTTTGCACTCCTTCCAAAGATACACCTTTTAGAGCAAAGCTAAGGTATTAGAAAGCTCTAGGCAAAGTCCAGTCTTTTAAGACTGGCACTTCAAAAGCTTACCCAGGAGAAACAGGGAGCTCTACTTTGCACAGTTTATGTGTTTGAGATCTCCTAGGCAGCAAATTTTCAAAAGAAGAATAAAGAATTATGAAAGATGAGAAAACAGTGAAGTCACGTGCCAGTCATACTTGCTGAGAGGACAGAAGACATTTGTGAAGAGAAGTTCAAAGGCAGTGCTACTACAAGTCTAAGAGTTGGAAAACCACATTCAGATAAAATAACAGAGAGTGACCAAAAAAAAGTCTCAGCTGCCAAACCCAAGGAAACTGAAGAAATTTAAAAATCAGGAACAAACATCTGTTTTGTGATAGAAAACCAGAAAAGTTTTAAGACACTCTGAAACCAGACATTAGAAAACACCATTTTAAATTCGTGACAAGTGTTAAAACCACAACTCCAATTAAGATGCTCTGCTTTTAAACCTACCAATTAAACTAAGTGGCAATTTGAAAAACAATCCCCTCCATACAAATGCACATTTAAGGTAATTACAGATGAACAGAATCGAGACCATTCTTAAGTGAAGCATATACTTAGGAGTCTCTGAAAACTTCCCCAAGGCCTCAAATCATTAAGACAAAGCCCCACAACAATTTTACATTAATATGCTAATGCATGTATGAACAAAAATGGGTCTTACCTGCCACTTCCACGATATCACCTGGGACAATGTCTCTTGCTTTAATCCTCTGGACACTTTTTCGGTCTTGTCGATACACTTTGCCCATCTCTGGTTCATATTCTTTGAGAGCTTCAATAGCATTTTCAGCATTTCTTTCCTAAAAGACAGCAAAAATGTGTAATTTTGAAAGCCCTCACGGAAAAATAAGCCTGTCAGATGCGATTTTTCAAAAGCATTAGCATATGAATACTACCAACTCAGCTCAGCTATATTTCTTCAAACAGAACATTTTGTGTCCCCTCCCCTTATGAGGCTGACTGGAAATAATTAGAGCGTAATTCAGGTGATTTGGGGCCTTTAGAACACAGAAATTGTTTATTTAAACCCTGCAGCACTTTCCATCAAGAACATCCACTGTGTTGTTGCAAGGAGGCCACACACAGAGTTCCACGTTACATATGAATGCTTTTTGACATAAAATAAAAAGCACTAAGCAGAATTAAGACTTGTGGATGTAGGTTTTGGCTGTACCTTGGCTGAAGCAGCTTAGACTCAGCCTGGAGTGGATAAGCACTGCTGAATTTAATTTACTGACAAAAATCAGGGATCAAATTACCATGAAGCCAATTTATCATCAACTTTGTTTCAGCAAATCAAGCCATGCTGAAGGGAAATTAAAGCATACACTAGAAACTTGCCCAGAATCTCTAAACAATTTACAGACTTGGATGAATCCCCAMGTAAGAAAACCTTCTGGTTTCCATGAACACAACAGCTTTCCTATCTCAGCTGCAGTCCTCTCACTAGGCACTACCAGAGATTGGTATCAATGYTGTGATGCCACCTGGATAAAGAACTGCAGAAACCAGCAGCTTATCAGTGCTCCTTCTCCAGCTCTTGGAGAAAGAATTTATTTTCCATTTCCCTGCCTATTGACAAGAACAAACGTCATTTAGCCCTGATAATTATAGATAATGGCRGAGTGCACAGAGTTTTTAGAACATCTGCCCTTCAAATATACATCAGCCTTTCGAGATAATAAAAAATTCCTCCTGCATGTCCCAGCAGAAACAAAACCATCAGAAATTCAAATGCTGAGGAACTCAGTAGTTTCCATGTAACAGTGCAGCTGAAAATGAGTGTTACCAAAACAACCTTGAGGAACTAACATTTACACGGCACAGCTCAGAGTCTGGCACTCCAGATACCATAAAGTTGTAAGTAATACCAGCCTCATATTCCACCAGGTAAATTATTAATTTAAATTAATTCTGCTCCTCAGCACTGTCACACCAAATTGCTTTTCAATTAGGCAAAACCTTAAAAGTCCCACAAAAGTAAGGTTACTTCAACAGAACTTTTCCTTCAAAAAGGAGAAATAAAAATTCAACATGATGACGCAGGTGGCCAAGATGGCCAATGGCACTTGGCTTGTAGCAGAAACAGTGCAGCCAGTAAGAGCAGAGCAGTGCCCATCCCCTGTGCTGGCAYTGCTGAGGCACCTCAAATCCTGGGGRCAGTTTTGGGYCCCTCATRACAAGRAGGAYATTGAGRRGCTGGAGCASRCCCAGGGAACAAAGCTGGGGAAGGGCCTGGRGCACCAGGAACAGCTGAGGGAGCTGGGGGGACTCAGGGAGAACCTTGTCACTCTAGAAAAAAGACAATAACAAGAACACAGATCCAAGTTGCACCAGGGGAGATTTAGAATGGATATTAGTGACAATTTCTTCACAGAAATGGTTGTCAAGCATCCAAACTGGCTGCTCAGGGAAGTGGATGAATCACCAYGCCTGGAGGTACCTAAAGGACGTACAAGTGGCCCTCAGGGACATGGTTTCATGGTGGCCTTGGGTCAACGGTGTGACTTGATCTTAAAGATCTTTTCCAACCTCMATAATTCTGTGATTCAGCTYRTTCAGCCAGACTGATTCTTTTTGCTCCCAGTTTGCCTGAAGTTATGGTAGCCAGACTATCCAGCCAGGCACTGAAGCACTGGCAGGTGGCTCCTGGGGAAAASTGCAAGTGAGAGGAAAGGTTGAGGGTGGCAGAGCCGTGGCAGTGACTCAGTGTTCACATCTGCTACCTGTAGGAACAGATACATTCATGGGTGGAGACTGTGTACTGGGACTGATTTTCCATGCCCATTAGAACAAGGGAATGAGTCATGGAATCTGTGCAGCAACTCTGTTTCACAATGAAGTTCCATGGCGTAGAAATATTCATAGAGCTATTCTTTATGTACTATCAAAGCTGAAAGAAACCTGATTATTTCCTACAACAGGGAAACAACTACGTAAGAAAAATCCTCAAACTATGCAGGCAGATCTACCTTCCACTTCAAGCTTAAAATTAGTACCTGCAGAACTGTAACTCACGGTTCGAAGTTAATGTTTAACTCTTGCACAATTACCTTATGAAGAGTTGAATATAAAATGTCATTTAAGGGGGCCAGGCTGTCACCTGTTGACCAACATTACCTCTTCCCTCCACACCAGCTCCAGGTTGTGCAGCAAGCTGGGTACTGCTAAAAACTGAATTTTGAGGAATACTCCTCAGCCAGCTCACTTGGGATAGCACAGGAATGTGCAGCAATGCCACTCAAGGCCCCTTCTTCCAGCATGCAGTGTCCTGTCTAATGTGTTTTAATCTGTTTACAGGGCTCCTTCTCTTAGTTTTTGTTATTTTGACCAGTTTGCCTTTTTTAAGCATGACGCCTCATGCACTGAAAGCAAGTAATTACATCACATTAGCACCCTCTCAACCAAAAAAAAACCCAACCAAAACCAACCAACCATGCAAAGAACTTGAATTACCATTAAAATCCTAGTTTTTAATCTGCAGAAAAAAAMCCCTCTAATACAACATCCACTGTCTAAAATGACCAAATTAGTAAACTAAAGTGATATGAACAATTTTGTTTTGGCATCTCATGAAGTGTTATTTTATGTTATGATATTACTGTCTACATGCTTTATTAAAAAACATCCAATTAATGTCATAGCTGACAATGTAAGGAAAGTTGCATGATATTTAAATGTTTTCAGAAGAAACTTGTGCCTTTTGAYAGACATGCAGTTTATGGATGTACACTTAATAGGTACTACAGTGATTAAAAAGGGAAAATACTGTATTAATAATTTACTAAAACACAGCAGTTGTCTCAAGAGGAAACAGACAAGAAATGAGAATAGAAATGCTCCATCCTTTGTTCCTTAGTTGGGAAAAAAYCCCAAGCAAACCAATCCAATTGTTCTTAACCCTGCAAGGCCTGATTTATTGCCTGAATTCAGGCCTTTATTCTGTCCTGTCTCGTTCATGTGTTCAGCAGTGTGTGGCCAAACACACTGATGGGCATTTTGCCTTTCTGGCAACACTTCTGAAGCTTTCATTTTACCTTTAAGTCAACACTTTCTGTCGAGAAAGCTTTATGGTTTGCTGACTCTCMGGAATCCAAAGTTAGCAACACATCCTACTTGCTGTGTAAGAATACCCGACACTCCAGCGTACRGTGCTTCTTAAACCATAAAACCCCAAAACACTTGTGATTTGATGCTGTAAAAATCTCTGCATACCTGCCACACTCCCACAATTGCATTGGCTACTAATATGAGTAAGATTACAAAAGGCTCTACAAATGCTGTGATTGTTTCTTCACCTTCTTCAAACCAGGCCAGGACCTGCAAGAGAAACACAGTGATTTAAATTACTGATTTACACAGACATCTTGCAAACTTCATGCCTGCTAAGTCTCAACTGCTTAGACTTTCAGCAGTTTTGGAAACCCCTCAATCTACCAAGTTGTAGTTTTGTAATTCATGAATGAGTTGGCAAAACATAATGGAAAAGGAGAAAAAGAATCTTTACTAAAGTAGTACAAAGTTCATTTTAGAGGCCGCTCTTCTTTTAAAGGAGTAAGCGATTTATTTGGGAAATAATTGCTACTGTTGCTTCAGAAATGAAAGCAGAAGCTGTGACAAGTGATGACAACAAAAAAAAAAAACCTTCATTACTGTATAAAACAGGACACAGACAGACTAGTTTGACTACTTAAAACACCAAAACCTTGCCAGAATCTGAATTTTAAGCAAGTCAATTGTCCTTTACGAGTACAGCTTTAAAAGTTTTTGGTGACTAGATATGAAAAAAAGCATCTAGCAATTTAAATGCAAGTAGTGTCATATTGAAGCATCTAAGTGAATGGAATAGTTATATCTGAAGCTCAATTGTGAACCAAGTAGCTGATAAAACTCAAAACTGGATTTTAAAAGGTAAATCAAACCTGAGGACTTGCATAAAAGGCTCCACATAGATTTTATTTTAATTCGTTTGTTTTAAAAGTGCACTCCAGTTTTAGGCATCTGTCATTCACTTGACTTGAATGTGTCAGGGTCTCTGCAGAGTGCTGGAGCCACTGATGAAAAGTCAAGTTAACAYGACCAGAGAGAGGAAGAGCGTTTTCATCAACATGTTGAGCAACAGGAARCTGGGAAAGTGACAGTAAATAGGAACAACGTGTTGAGATAATTAGGGCTGGTAGTCAGGCAACAGCACTCTGAATCACTAGAAGACTGCAGCGAGCAAACTGTTACTAAAGCAAGCCCATGATTCCACCAACACGCTGCTCCGAGCTATTGCTCAATTGTGAGACACTCCAGGACGTCAAAAGGAAGGAGCAGCAGCATGAAAGCCTCAAGCAGAAAACAGACTGTCAAGCAAATCCAATGCAACAACGAGTTTTTATTGCAAAGGGATGAACTTGTAAGACCCAGGTTGTGATTAATACAACTGAAACGTTCCAACTGGCGACACAAGATTTTGAGGGTCTGTGTAATCCCCCTGGAGAACAGATTTAGTCAGGATTTCTCATGCTCTCCACACCTCGGTGTTTCTTCCCTCCTCTCACACCACTGCTGTCCAATCCCTGGAACCCCTCCTGCCATCTGGGCAGTCGGACAGGCCACGCTGTCTGTCCTCACTCCATACACATCCCCGTGCCACGGGCAGCCTTCTCTCTGCACCAGCACTGCTGCTGTCTGTGGAGCTACAGGAGAGGCCAATGGTGCATTTCCAAATCTCTCAGCATACACAAGGTCACCTGCTCCCATCAGAAAAGCTATCCAGTATCCGTTTATTCCCTCCCTTTCTTTACTGGGATTCTCTAGAGCCCACTTTGCTTCCAAACAAAGCAAATAAATTCAATTATTTTGTGATGTTCTTATCTGAGCAGGCGCATACAAGGTTAACTGGAATAGAACATCCGCTTTACACGACGTTAAACCAGAACCTTTTTTGATTTAAGAYCATGTGTGTTGTAAAATAACATTGAGAAAGGCCACAACTTCCAGAGGTAAGGAAAGTAGCTACAAGGACATCAAGATCCAAGTATGTCAAGGASAGCCAAAATTAAGTTTTCAAGGGATCTTTTCTTTCAATAAGCCATTACTTCAAAAAGAGAAGATGAACTCAAATTAGAGATCCTGAGAGTATAGAGTCTGATGGTTTAAATCTTCACTTTTTTCTTGGTGAAATTATCAATCTGTGTCAAGACTAAAATGAAGTCTCTAGTTAATCCTGAAAGCCAGSAGTAAACAMTTCTCCCTCCAGAAGTTTCTACACAATTACTAACAGTGGAACAATCCAAGCTCTAGTTCTAGAAAAATTCAGTAAATATAGACATAAAATAACCAGATACATTGTGAGTTTTGGTTTTGCTATAGCAGACTACAGCTATATTAACATTCCATTTAGGATACTTGTGGTAACACAACACATATTCTGTAACAGATTGGGTTTATTATTTAATAGTAGCCTGATGCAAGAAACAAAACAAACCCAAGAAAAACAAAGAGGAAGTAGAACAAGCAATAACAAGTATTTAACTCAGCATTTTTACTAACAACAGACCATATGCTGAGGCCTGGTAAAGACTAGACAATTCTTGTCCAAGTCACCGAGTCCTTGTCAGAAAGTTTCCACTAGCACACTTTTAAGACCCTGAAGAGGTTTACACTGAGAGATCTCTTTTTTTCTTTCCATTTCTACTCAGAAGGGCCCCATCATGTTTCAGCCCTAATCACTTTAAGACTCACATGCAGAACAGCTTAATTTCCAGGTCATTGATCTCCAATGCACTGGTCAGGCAGTACTGTCAATAGGTAAACTCACCATGTACTTAAGAAAGAGCAGGAAAAATAAGAAAAGAGTAAGAAAATTGCTCAAGAGAAGTGCAAGCCTAAAAATATAAGRGAAATAATAGCAAGACATAAAAGACCCATATCAACAGCCAACATAAGCAGCTTAAAGGACAACTTTCATTCAGCATATTTGCTTTAGGGCTGCTGGAGCTAYGGCTTGCAGAGCCTATTTTAAACAAAGCCTAATGGTGTGGAGCTGCAGGACACTGAGGCAGAAGATACACAGTGACAGGCAAACAGCACTTAGTTGTAAAAAGGAGGCAGAAGTACAATACCAGAGTCAGCCACCAATGGGGTGAGCACTGATGGAAGCGGCCAAAACAGCTTTTTCCATTTCTACAAGTGAAGTATCTCTGTATTACAGTCAGGGAAGTCATGGAGACAAGTTACCTCAGATGACTATGTATCACTAAGTAACAACAACAGAATTGAAGAATGGGAGTTTCGAGACAGAATTGTGCTGCCCAGCAGGCTGTACCCGCTCACCACCAACAGAGGAAAAGCACTTTGTTGTCAGCAACCGACCAGGGATTTTTGTTTGGTTTTCATTTTGGCAATGGAAACTTAGAAGCAAGCTGGGAGAGGCAAGATCTCATCCCAACAAAAAGAAGCCCTGGAAAAATTAAAGCGGGTCATATAAAATGGRATGCTTTTAAGAATTTCCTTCTCACAGGACAATGTGATTTAAGTTTCAGTATATTTTGGACAGAGTATCAACTACTGCTCAGAAAATCCTCTTTTRCTGATTTCTCTTTTCAATACAAATTAGCTTAAAAATAAGTAGATGGAAAGTATTTCAGTAGTGCTGACCCATTCCATCCATGTCAGTTATACCGAACACCAGGTAACATTAAAGAAAAACCTCCCAATTTTAGTTCTGTGATTCAGTAGAAATTTTTGTCTGCTACACAAGGAGGACAGGGGAAAAAAAATCTCAAACACAAAAGAAGTTATCTTGACCAAATGTATAAGCACAAAATTAAAAATTTTACTGAGTTAACAGATTGTAAGCACCCATCAACACTCCRTATTTCTGAAAATAAATATATTGTTTATTATAGTAATAAGGGAGAAAACCTGTCACCCACAGTTTAATCTCTACATCATAAAATGGMATCACAATGACTTCTCACATTTTTATCACCCCTACCCTTGTGCTAATGAGCAATCTAAGTTTAGCTAAAAGCATGTCAGTGTCATGTTCCACAGCAACCCTTATCTTGTGCCACACACTCACTGCTGCTGACCTTAGCAGGTAGCTTTTGGGGTGATTTMAGGGCAAAGCCTGTAACATTGTTACTGACACATCCTACTTCCTCCAAGAGGACCTCTGCTCACCTTTTACCACAAGCTTGGTTATCCTCATGCTAATTTACAGGCTGTAACAATCTCTGGGCTCAAGCACAGCGTATTGTTTTAATCTAAACACAGACATCCACTATTAGAAAACATTACCAGAATATTCACTTCTAGGTCAGCTTAGGAATCAGAGGAATAATCGAGGGGAGGAATGCTYTTAGGGTGCCGTATAAATACTTTGAGTTTAGGTAGAGTTTACAGCCTACGTTGCACCTTGGAGAAGGAAATCCACTGTGTGATGCAGAGCTAAGATTGCAGAGTTCAGCACAAATCACTGCTTAAAGCATCCACACTTTAACAAGGAATTATTCTACATCAGATGCAGTTAACGTTTTGCAACCTGTCAAAATCATTTATACGGCAAAGCAAGCTGTTCTTTTCAGTAAACACTGTAGATCTGAGCACATGATACACAAGTATCAAGAATTAAAAGCCACGAATACACTCCACGACTTTTTTTCTGCAGAGATTTCACAGATCTAACAGAAGACCAAGACAAGTCTATTCACAGATCCATTTACTCACCACCAGAAATTATTTAYACCTCAAAAGCCATACTTAAGGCTTTCACTAACCAGGCACATCTCTAACAGGAGCTCTGACCTGGAATGTAGGACACAGGATCCACAGCCCACAAACACGCAGCATCTGACCCCGGCAATCAGCCTGGGTGACACAGATTGAGCTGCTGCTCTGACTTCTTTTACTGACACGTACCTGACAGGCAGTGTGGGAGCAGAGGGCACAAAAGACACTCTGAACACACAAGTTTATAGTCTAYAGAAGAAGGGATGCTTCTGCACAAAAACCTAATGCAGGTCTCAGTGCTACAGATGTGCAGGCAGTTCTTACAGCAATAAACTAATATGATTTATGATTGCAACACCACCACTATAGAAGTTCCTTCAMCACAAAAAAAAGACCAATTATATACTTTGAGATCCTCTCTCTCATASCTGAATCTTAATTTTTCTAAACTGACAGTGTACAGCTGGCAAAGAACACCAGAATTTAGGTGATGTAATTTCATCCTATTTTTGCAGTAATGCAATCCTTGTCTCAACATATCCAACAGTGCTTTACAGCTACTACAGAAGTCTGTACTATGCTTTCATCAAGAAGAAGTGTTAAAACCTAAGAAAAACAGACAACATGATCACCTTCTAAGCAAAGAAAACATCAGAACCAAACACCAARGGGAAGAGCTTTTAAAGTACGGAAATCATAATATATGTAAGAGTTTTTCTACTTTTCATCAGAGAAAAATCTTTACCTCTAACATCAATTTAGTGTGCCTCTGTAACACTAAAATAGGAGACAGAAAAGGCAGAGCAGTAGCCCAAGGTCATGTACCATGTCAGCTGCACAGAAGCTGAGAACCCAAATCTATCCCACACTCTATTAGACYACAGTCTCCTCTTAATTAGATAGGAAAATTAACCATACTGAAAAAAGCAACTGAATTCAGCTACTAATCAAGTTTTCCAAGAGGACTCAGCAGTGTATGTTCTATGACCTCTGTCAGTCTGGTCTCGTACTTAGAYGCAGCAAAGAAAGCTTCAGTTTGGTGAATCTGATTTTTCACTTACTTGTTTATAATAAAAACAACTAATGTACCTTGGCACGGAAGGCTAACAAACTCCTGTGCTGTCATTTGTCTCATGAGATGACAGAAACACTCCTGACTTTTCAGGAACAAAAATATATCCCCTTCCCACTCTCTGTGAGGAAAAGGGGAAAGAGAAGAGGGGAAAAAAAAAAAAGGCTTCTGAATGACTGTTTATTCAATTTTCAATAGGCAGCCTGATTTCCTCTCCAGGAAACAGAGGAGTGAGCGAAACACATCTGTCTCCATGGTCAAGACTGATGTCACCAGACACTGCTCAGCTGGTACTGCTGAATTACAGACCCAAAGCCAGAGCCCTTTGGAAGGTGTTGGTGTGGGGAGAGCAGATCCCCAGCACAGCACAAACTGCAGCACCAGGGCAACCCTTCCCCCACCACACAACAGCTCCAGAGCACATTCTCCTCTGCCCATCCTAATTAGCTTGCCCTTAGCTAAAGAGTCACTACAATTTCCACTCCCCCCAAGAGCTGGAGCATTTATTTTTTTTCAAGCAGTTAATTACAACTCCAGGGCAAAGTCTACTGTAAACTTTTACTCCCTACCTAAACAATTTAATATTCTGCAAGCTTTTGTTCCCGTTGTCCAGCTCCCCAAGAAATACAGCCTTCACCTTCCTTCTCTACTGAGCCTTCACTCCATTTTCCAGTTTTTCAGCTAGCACATACCCTTTACACATAATGCAAGAAGATTGCCTAATCATGGTTTCTTAGGAAAAAAAAAAGTTTAAAATGTTCCTGTTCTTTTAGTCCTGTATGCAAAGCAAGATGTCCATTTAATGACTTGACCATCCAAAGGTCAGTTACCAAATTTGGTCAACAATGGTGCCATCACAGCCGTCAACATTCTTGTCACTGTCAAAAGCAACAACTGTCACCTTGCTATTATCAGGAAGGGAAGGCAACTGGAATATTCGCCATGTAGATTCTATTTACMGTCTGCATTGCATCCAAAAATGTCTTCCAATGATTATACATYGAGCTTGATAACGATTAACCCAAAGGCAAGAAGAATGTCCAGTTAAACGCTTACTTACTCAAGGTTAGTTTTCAAAGCCAACAGCAGCATTGGGAAATCCCACCTCAAATAAGCAAACTGGGTTGAATGAGAAGCACTTTTTAAAATACCTGCCTAGTGTAGTTATGTACTTATGACTCAAGCAATGAAAGACACGCTGAAATTTTTGTTTGCTGGCATACAGAAACCTCGTCACAAGGAACTAATTTAAGAGGCAGCAATTTTGCATCTAATACTTTGATCCACTGAGAAAGAATAATTTCATATGTGCAGTTCGCATACATTGGAACACGTCAGTCTGGAAGACAGAACCCTATGAAATAAAAAAAATAAATAAATCATACTTACAAAAGATATGCAAGCGGCCAGCAACAAAATTCTAACTAGTAAGTCTTCAAATTGTTCAATCACAAGCTCAAGTAAGGTTTTTCCTGCAATATGTAACAAAGCCATTTAGTCAGGCATACTTAATAAAAAAATTATCAACAATAATTAGCAAAAGATTTCATAACCATGCTCACCTTCCTCTGCTGGTAGCTCTGTCAGTACAAGATTTTTCCAGGAAGCATGTCAAAGAAAAGAAATCATTGAAGAAACACGTTAGAGCATTATCAGGCATCCACACCAGATATTGTTCCTCAACTACACACTCAACTGGGTTGAATCTGACAGACATACTGAAAGCCTCACTAAGGTGGCTCTTTTCACCAGAGCATGTGAATGGGCCTGAGAGTTGTGCGTTTTAAAACACATAAAGGTTCGCGGGAATGTGCCAAGGGCTATAATTCAGCCAAGTCATCACTCCAGCCAGCTGTGGGACTTCTGCTGTTGCTGCACACAAAGGGTCAAAGGCTCAAAACGCTTTTCAAACGCTTTCTGAAAAAGCTTTTCCTCCACGTTCACTTCAAAAAAACACAAACCATAAAACTTGGTTCAAAATATTTCAGATTCTTTCCTCCATTTTAAGGGCATTTCCCTATTTCTGCTCTCCCCTTTACGTCCCTGCAACTAGATTTAGTAATCCAAGAGGCATAAAAGCAGTGTTAGAGCTAAAAAACCACCTCCACGGTGTAATCTTCTCACAGATTTTCATTTTTACACAACGGCAAGGGAGTTTAGAAGGGACTCGGACAGCCAAGCGGTAAGAATTTAAAAAATCGACTGAATTTCATGTCCGGAGTGGAGAAAAGGATATAAAACAAGGGGCTGAAAGGCGCTAAAAAACTGAGAAAAATGAAGGTCAAGACGGACAAAAAAAAAAAAAAAAGCAAACCCTAAACCCCACAGCGCATCATTTCAGAATGGAAAAAGGTTTCCCACCGCTACGGTGAAAGGGAACGGAGGTGCCACCCTCCTCCCCAGAGCAGCCCTGCGAGCTCGGGATTGAAAGAAACCCACGAGGTGGAGTTCAAGTCAGCCATCTTCTCTCCCTCGCTCCTATTCCGGGTCCTGGAAGAGATGCCGGCTTCGCCAGAGCACACGCGTTAGGCCTCGCACAGGGCCCCGGCAAGGATGAGGGAGAAGGGAAAGGGCTGGGAAAGGGAGCAGAGGGGGAAGAGGGCGAGCGCCGGCGGCAGCATCCCCGCGGCGGGGCCGCCTCACCTACCGTTGGAGCCCCATTTCTCCTTCAGCTTCTTCACTTGCTCAAGGCTGAGCCCGGTGCTCTCGTTGACGCCGAAATAAGCCAAAACTTCCTCCACAGTCTTTGTGTGCGCGTTCTCCATGGCTGGGGCAGGGAGCAGCAAATGGTGCCGTGCCTCGCCTCTTCCTCCTCCCTCTCCTCCTCCTCAGCGGCGGCGGGGGCGGCGGCGAGACCCCTCCTCAGCACTCACCACCCCCGTGCTATCACCATAGACTCTCTCCCGCAGCAGAGAAGACCGAGCACACCTCTCTCTTCGCGGAGGAGGCCGGGAGGGGCACGAAAAAAATTAAAAAAAAAAAAAAAAAAGCCCCCACCCCCTCCCACCCCTCACGCCTCTGAGGGAGCCGAGCCGCCTCTCCGGCGGGGACCAGGGACTTGGGGCGGGGAGCGCGCGGGCCCTCAGAGCCGCTGTCGCCGCGGGGCCTCGGCGGGTCCCTGCGGGGATGGGCCGCGTCCAGGTGGCCAAGCAGCCTCTCCGCTCGCCTCGGCGACTCCGAGCCGCCCCCGGTAAGGGAGGGCGGTAACGGCGCGGGGGAGAAAAAGCCGCAGCTGTCCCGCTKCCCGCAAAGGGTCAGGATCAACCCCTTCCTTCCTTCTCTAGCAGCCCGATCCCCCCCGGCCGGCCCAGGCCGCTGATCGCCGTCACGGCTCGGGCTCCCCCGCGCCCGCCGCTGCCTCCGCTCGCTCCGGTCGCGCAGCGGCGGCGGCGGCTCTAATGTAACTCAGGGGCCGCCCGGTGCTCTCTCGCCGCCGCGGCATGTGGACGCCGCTCATTGGCGGGGCCGGGACTCGGGGCGGGGATCCGGGCGGCCCCGCCCATGGGGAGGAGGCGATGGCTGCGGCGCGGCCCCTGCGCAGCGCGGTCCCGCTCTCGCCCGTGCTCCCGCCCGGGCCTGGCGGCGGCTGCGCCTCACGCGGCGGCGGCGGCGTTTCCGCTGCGCACGGGGACAGCCCCGCCGGTGCGGTGGCCGCTTTCCCGCCCCCGRTGCCCCGGCGGGAACCGCCCCTGTCCCGGCCTCAGCCCGCGCTGAGGGGGAGCGGGCGGCCTGAGGGGAGCTGCCCGCCGTGAGGGWCTCGGCGCGGGGCGGGTGGCGCGGAGCTGCACCGGTGCGTGTCGTGACAAGAGCCCGGCCGTCCTGTGAGCACTGCCTTCCTCCTGTCGCGATAGGAGCCTCATCCAGTGCAAGAGTGAACGGGGGGTTGGCCCCCTCCTCATGAGCATCATTCGGTCGAAGGGTGACTGTGGGGCTGGCGCGCTCTGTCGCGACAGATGCATCATCCGGTCAGAGTGTGAGCGTGAGGCACAGGGAAGTCATGGATTCTCCTCTCTGGAGACATTCCAGGCGCGTTCCTGTGTCACTTGCTCCAGGTGAACCTGGCTTGGCAAAGGGTTGGCCTGGTTGTCTCGGGGTCCCTTCCAGCCCTGAGGACTCTGTGATTCTGTGGGCTCCACCAGCCTGTGTCGTGACAGGACCTCATCCAYCGCGAGTGTGCAGAGGTGAGGGCCGTGTTCCTCGGTGCTGTGACATGGGGGTCACTCCTCAGAGGTCCTGCCCTGCCCTGGCACCGAGCAGTGTCCCCAGCTGCCATCGCACACATCCCAGTGACAGCACACTCAGTCCCAGCGATAACATGAGGGGGAATAAACTGCACACGCTGTGATTTCAGCTTTCCTCAGCACCGTATCTCGGCTCTGGCTCTGGCACAGGAGTCGATACAGAGCGCAGAAAACTGACTGATCCATCCGATCCCACCCGGTAATTTACAGGAACTTCAGTGAACACAAACCGGGACATTGATACACCTGCAACACACACACGACACAGCAGCAGCTCTGCACACAGTATAAAAACCCCCTCCCTCTAAAACTTGGTGCTGAGCGATGTTCTTGTGTACGTATGCATGTGCAAATATCGAAGCTGATCCCTACATGTGTGCTGGCTTACATAAATGCAGATCCTACATACAATCTGCATTTGCACCACTTATAAACCACCCACAGCAGCACACCATAAGAAACTGCGTGTCTGATGTAGAATGAAATATCTTAGTCTTACCACTGTCTTACAAAARAGGGGCTGGAGAGGGGACAGCCCAYAYAAAATTATGGTGTTCTASGGTACATGTGGCCCTATGTCCTTTCTGACAAAAGTACAACTGCTTAAAAGACTCCTCTGTGAATGGCCAGCGTCCAAGGAAGGATARCTTGACAGCCTACACTTCACAGGGCAGTTCTGAATGAAAATTCCTCAGATCTGATGACCTAGTTCAGGTAAGGCAATTACTTATTCCATGCCATGCCCATATTAATTTCATCTTGCTTATCAGCAGGATTAATCAGCRTGGCCAAATGTTGCAGTTATGTTGCTTTTCATACCTCACTCGACACCTAAATAGACTTAGCCTGTTGCAGACTTGAAGAATGTCAACATGACAYGTGTATATAATTTATATCTTTTATGGTAATTTCTTAACCAGTTTTAATAGTTTTCTAGGTATGGTATGAACCCATGATGCCCCCATCCCCAAAACATGTACATATGCATATATAACATTGAAAATACATGATTTCCACAATAATTCTATATGGGATAATGCCARCCACTTGAATTCATATATTTCACTAACAGCTCAGTGTATCCATATGAGTAGTTTCTTCCTTTCTACCACATCAATAAAACCTGCATTAGGTGTAAGTTTTTTGTAAAAGCAATATTTTTATGCAGAAGCACATTTACTAGCCTTCATATACAAGTGTACCTGTAAAGGACTTGAAAGTCCTGCCTTTCATTTTCTTACTATTTCAAAGTATTACAATTAAGCATCTGTAACATTTKCAAAACAAAATGATGCTAGAAAGAAACCCAGGTCACATTTCATGTTATTTCTCCCTGTGTTATATTTCCTGTGTCATTCTTGGTTTCCTTTTTGTGCCTGTTTCCAAAAGGGCTTATGGAAAATTATTTTAAGCATACCAGAGGCATGGCACATGCAATTCGAGCTTGGCAGAGGGTGAAATAAAGTAGATACTGTGTTCTTTCAATCTAACTTGTTAACAGGAGGAACTGCTGCTAGGAAGGCAAACAGTGTGAATTCTAGCAAATCCTGGAGAACTCTTGGCATTCTCTAGTTCAGCTACAGTTTGACAATTCCCCTCCATTGTTTCTCTCTCATGCGTTCATTACAGAGGACTTGATTCTTCCCCCTTTTTTCCCAACCTATATAAAATCTGGAAAGAACCTGGAAGCATAGTCCTCTGTCTGTGTTTATTTCTGTCACGTGTTCCGTTATGGCTCAGTGAATTTTGAAAGAAGAATGACTGAATAAAGGACTCTTCTACAGTTCTTTCTCTTCCAGAGCAGAATAACCGCTGCATTTCCTTCACAGTCCTTTCTCTGTCTTTCCCTAGAAATGCAAGACCACTGCTGCTGGCCAGTGAGGATTCCTTTGCAGGTGATCCCTTCCAAATCTTCTGACAGCTACACATTTGAACAACATTTGCAGATCCAATTCATGGTCTAGACAGCACAGTGCAGAACGAGCTACAAATACCCATGTAGACACTGCAGCAGAAGCAGTACCTGCTAAATTTGGCATCACTTGAGATCATACAAATTTAGAATTGTGAGTTGAAATCAGTGTTGTTTCCCATCGCTCTGCAGGGATTCATAATGCTTCCTATGAYATTTGTCTTGCCTCCTAAAGAAGATGGTTATCTAAAGGAGATGGTTACCTAAAGATGGTTATTTTGACCCAAATCAGAACGACAGCACCTCAGCTCTGCCTGAAGCAAAAGAGCCCGTGAAGGCTTCCAGGCAATTCATGCTTCTAGCAGGTGCAGAGATCTTTACATCCTCCATTTTCAAGGAAGAAAATCAATTCATTTTGCTGCTGCAAGGTTGCAGTTTGTTGCTAAGAGTGCCCCCCCCTTAGAGTGGCACCTGGGAAAGAAACACAACAAAATGGGGCAGTTTTGGCCTTGTTGAAATTCCATTCACGTAATGGAAGCACAAATTCGTACATTTGGCCTACTATCTTTTTTTCACTGTAATATATTAAGAAGAAGMAGCCAACACATCAGGCAGCAGCATTAAAACAGTTCCTGTAATGCTTACTAATTGAAGTAAATGGGAATTTGGCCTGAGAGAGGACTGCAGGATGCTTTCCTTCAAATTGCAATAACATTAAGTCATCCCCACTGCTGCAAAGCAGATTCACAGCAGAGTTACTGGTCATAATGTGAATTGTCTCTCACCAACACATGTTTTGTAGCTCAATTTTCAAACAAGATTAATAGTTTTGAGTGGGGCTGAACTCAGCGTGGAAGAGCACCACATAAAATGCCAGTTGTTGAGCCAATACAAATGAATGCTGACCTGCAATAGGATCTCTTTCAGTGAGCATAGACAAAGTGAGAATATTCTGCTTAATTGTGCCAAATTATGTCATGATTTTTGCAGACTGGCTAATTGCCTAATGGGGCTTATGTTGAGACCACCAAACTCATGGCTTTCATCACTCTGGCTGATTTCAAATAMAAGTCTTCGTGAGTGACAAATGGGGGCATTGTTTCTTCCTCCCACAGGACTATTTTATTCCTCTGAAATTACAGTTATTAAAATGTTTCAGCCAGTTGAAATCTACTAAGGCATATTAAAATGCTGCAAAAGTGCTGTATCAAAGTGGAAAGGTTTTAARTCTGCAGTTCTGTCATAGGATAAAGCAGTTTAAATATAGTAACTATTTTTTTCCAGTCAGCTTGCTCTTTGAATTCATGGTATTATGTCAAGGGTTTTTTTTTTCTTCTCTCCCCCTTTAAGAAGCTTATAGCTTAAACAGCAAAATGCAAAAAATACTGAGATGAAACAGTTACACAAACCCAGCTGAGAAATCAGTGATAAAATATGAGTTTGAATGTTGATAATTAAGATAATCTGAATTTATTCTGAATAAATTTTATTCCTAGGCAATGTGTGTTCCTSTATGTGCAGCAGGTAGGATTTGATCTCTTCCACTGAGACTGAGAGACTGTGAACACAAAGGATGGTGTTGCTGCTGGGAGATTTCTAGAACTGGATCTCTGTTCCTGCACAAAGCAGCTCCTTGCTGCCTTGAAAGTGTAAAAGAGGCAGCGAGACAGTCTGATCTCAGTGACAGTAACCATGAGAGATCACAGTTTGGCTCGGTAGATTTCTTATTTAATTTCTRTATCCTATTCATAGTCATTGGTTCATCTCTGAAGACTCCATTAGAGTGTTTGCCACAATAGTCTCAATTTCCCTGCTTGGAAAAATCTGTG